TGAGGCTCCGCTCTGGTCGCCAATGGCCAAATGAAGCTACTTGGAGAGCACCGGACAACGTGCCGAGGGGTGACACTGCCAGATTGTAGGCGACATAGTCTTATCTTATCGACTACTAATCACAAGATCCGGAAAGTGTACCTGCAGGTTAGTAGACGTTTGCAGACTACATCAAACCAAAAACTTGCAAAGTAGGTGACCCAACGTTAACGTAGACTCCAGGGTGTTCAGTTTTTTCCTCACTTGGCGTGGTGGCATGACTGGTTTCATCGTCACTCACGTTAAGCTAAAGACACAAAATTGACTCCATGTGGGGACATACTGAGTCGGTGCGCTGTCTTCGTAAGGGGTACTGGACATTAGTGATCGTTCTGTTCCAGCAATTGACGATGACCCGCATGACAGACCATCGGGGTACCCATAGGCCAGTATACCCAGGTAACCACGAACATGGTTGACAGATCGGCGTACATGTTGCCTTATTGGAAGTCACGGGGAGATCTACAAACATCGCATCCGTGCCGGCATGGTACACAAAGCCATCGCGAACATGTCGCAGACTGCTCATGCGCCCAAGCTACGCTCGCTGCGTTCGCTGCATTGAGCTTGGTGAACGGCCCGAACCGTATTCGGCCATGTGATGTGTTGATTGGGCGCAACGCAGCTGTAAGAGTGGGACGCCGGTGTTGTTCCGGTGTACCTGCCAGGCGTGGAAGTCGACGATACCATTCCTAGATGTATCCTTGTATCTTGGGATCTATTCGGTAGAACGAGAAGCGGGATTGAATCCACATGACTTGGATTGGGATATCCCGCAACCTTAGTTGACATACACACCCTGACACCGCTCGTACGGCTGCGCGGTTGCCACGAATTGGGTTTTGTATGAATCAATGGTTACCTCACAATGCTGGGAATTGCGAAGCCCGATGCGTGTTTTAGGTGGTGATTATCGGGTAACTCGGTGCAAATTGAGTCAAGCTTCCACATCTGCCATGCGCGTCTTTACTGTGCGAAGAGCGACAAGCATCTTTTCAACATGATGTGTCTAGCCAAGCTTTGGCTTAGCTTGCTTGTGTTGTCAGTCAAGCTTCCGCCGTTATGACACGTGCCGCCCAGGGTTCCAGTGTAACGGGCATCGCGGGGATATCTTGTCAGTCCAGAATCTCCTAGGCCCAGCGGCCGTTGCCGTTGGATGCACATCATGTGAGCCAGAACTCTGACCAGACCCACTCGCCAGGATCCAGGTATATCAGAACTCAGGGGCGATATCTAGTCTTGACATTGAAGGGCCGCAGAGTACAGCCGCAGCCTTTCTTCCAGAGCTCGTCGTTCCGGACCCGTGCAGGACGGCGGCTCTTGCAATAGCCACACTGACTTCTCGGTCTGATGCTGCTGTCCTAGCCAACTTGTTTCCGTGACAGGATGCAAGCTCGTGGTCCACACTCGGTGATGAGTAATGCCATCACCCTTTGCGTATTATCACAGGGACTAGCTTGGGCGGGCGTAAGCAACGTCGCTATCCCTACCGAGTCTGATGTATGCCCTCCGTCGCCTCTCGTCTCCTACCATCAGGTGTAGCATCGTACTCGGCGGGTGGCCGATGGTCGAGGGGAGCACCGCAGTGCAGCGGCGAACGATATCGGGTGGTGCACGTAATACTGGGATACGTATAGGCTTGGACGATTTCGGGAAGAGCGTGTCCCTTGATTATCGACGCGCATTCGTAGCGATGATGTCGTGAAGCATGGCAAGGAGCTAGAGACGCCGCCTGCCGGGTCTGCCTCGTTGCGGCTCAAGTCCCCTTCGCGACAACGTTTCCAGATCGGGATTGCGCACGTTGTACCTCATCGCGTAGTGAAGGTTTGGCGGTGGTGGGCATGCATGCAATGTGCAAGACCAGCAAAGGTACGCGGAAACGCGCTGGTGGGTGTCGAATGGCCGCTCAGGGTCCGTCTTAGTCAGCGCTAACGATTCCCCGCGACGCGTCGGTCTCACGTCTGATACTGGAACACAAACCGACGCGCACTTGCACCCATCGCCAGCTCAATCTGCCTCCCCAGGGGCGAGATGGATCAGTTCATTATTCGTCGTTATCACAGTGTAGGAGTGCATCGAAAGAGACACAAACTCTGCTTGGCAACAGTCAACAGAGCAGGCACGCAGGGACGGGAAGGTGCGAGACTGTGGTCAATAGTTCGTGAAGTTTCATCATTCATTTACGTAGCAGATACATGTGATCTGGCATCCTGTTCAACGCTCTCGTCCCTCCTTCCACTGATAATCACACTACACCACTCATCGCCAGATACCGATGCTCGAGTGTGGCAAAGGCCGAGAGCAGATCCAGTCGACTTCTGGCACCATGGCACTCAGAAAGCACGATCGCACCACCACGTTCAATCGGTCCATCGGCCAGGTCGCCTTCTTCGTCAATGTGGTCGCATTTGAGCGTGGCCAAATACCTCTCGCTGCCACCAGTCAACTTCGGATTTTTGTGGTGTAGTCCATCGGCCAGGCCACTTCCTTCTTCTTGCGCCACGCATACTTGGGGTTCAGGGATCAGGCATAACAGGAGAGCCCTCATCTCCAAACCTCCGAATTAGTCCATCGGCCAAGCGCAGCAGTCTTTGGGGGTTCCATAGAACGAGAAGGGCGTGACAATGGCTGCGACGACTGCAAGCAGGTGAGCTGTTGAGCCAACCACTCGAGCCCCAATCTTAAGCATCATGCGAACCGCCAGAATGTGTAAAGCGGGTATTGCTGCGCTCGCCTCCGAATTAATCCATCGGCTAGAAGCTGTGGCTGTGGGAACGATCAGCCAGACAGCGAGAAGACCAAGTCTTGAGCTCGTCCTGTCCGGCTACTCTCTGCAGAGGAAAGCGCCGGACCCCCAGACATGTAAGGCGAGTATTGCTGCTTCCCCTTCGATGCGTAAGTTGAGCCGAAGAACCGCCCCACACCGCCCACCTTCCGTCTCCACCACCAAAAAAAAATGGCAAAAAAAATGGCAAAAACATACAACAGCGCGTATTCCCCGGTGGTCACCCACCCGAGTACTAATGCGCCGGTATCTTGCTTAAGTACCGCAGAGCGAACGGGATGCGCTGTGTCTCAAGATCCTGTGGTCGTATGTGGAAGATTGAGCAGTTCAACCAAATATATTGTGGATGTGTCAACGGGGGTAAGGCCATAACCATCGATGACACTCCAGGCGTGTGAGGAAGCGTCTGGACAGGGAGGACCGGAGGATGGATGCCGTGTAACACGATTATTGCTGCCCGATCTTGCGCGCGCAACCCGTCATGCCCAAAAGTATCGCGGAAGGAGCCAACCAAAACCATGTATGCGACCGCAGGCGGCAAGGCAGGAGCGTGGTAAGGAAGAGGGTCGGATGGCGTGGGAGTGAGGTGTGTAAGGCGAGTATGCCGTCGCGGACCACGACCGAGCGAAGATAGCGCGGCAAGTCGTGGTGAGGTGTGCCGTGGGGTACTGTCAGAGTCGCAGACGACTCGGTAGTCCAGCCGGGTTGTGTAAGTAGTCGAGTGGCCTTGTTGTTACGAGCTATTGAGCGTAAGCCCGCCGCTAGCTTGCTTGCGATACGTCGAAGGCGTTATTTCATGGTAAGGAAGAGGGCCGGACGGCAGCAGAGGATGAGGTGTGTAAGGCGAGTATGTTGTAGGGCAGGGACGGAAAGAGGAGGCAATGAGGTGTGTAAGGTGAGTGCGTCGTCGCAAACCAACAGTGAGGGAAAGCGATGCTCCATGTCGTGGTGAGGTGTACTAGGGACCACCGGAGACCGAAAGCGTCATGTCGTGGTGAGGTGTGTTAGGAAAAACCAGCAGCAGAAGACAGTAATGCTTCATGTCGTGGTGAAACATGCCGATGCGTCGATGAGTCTTACCATCCTCAGCATAGCTCGCGTCATTCCGCGGAGCCTAACCGAGCCTCTTCCTCGCAGGTGCGCCGTCGGACCAGATATTGCATGTCGTGGTGAGAGACGTCGACGCGACGATGGGGGTCACCATCAGGCCGCCACATCCGTTCGTGACTCACAGCTCGAGCTCTTCGATGCTGGTACGTCGCTGTAGATATCCAGGCGAAATGACAGATAAGTTGAGGTGCAAAGGCGTGGATAGATCTGTCAGTCTTCCAGAGACGACACATAGCGGAAAGTCCCTGTTGTTGTCTTGGTGATGTGTTGGTACCAGCGACGCAGAGACAGCGGCGGACATGATGTAACTTTTGTGAAATTTTGGTGCCAGAGGGCAGACATGGTAAGACAGACGTGATGTTTTTGAGTGAAAGCCTGCCGGCAGGCATGTTACTAACTTCGAAGTATTTTGAATCAAAAGCTGAACACATGTGTTCGTCCCAACACCTCTTGGAGGCACAGACAGCACGGCCATGTACTTGTCGTTCGAGAATTTTGGAAAAAGGTGAGTGAAAGTAGAAGGTTGATGTTCAGAAAGAAGGAAGGAGCGACGTGCGAATATATTCCCCCGCGCACGGACCGTCTCACAACGTGGTACGGCAAAAGTCCCTCAGAATCATACATCGCACTTCCGATAGGCCTACGAAATTATGTAACCATGTTTGTGAGCTACATGCATCTTGGGAACCCGCAAACAAAACCTCAGAACTATGACTACCGAATACGATGCTTTTGGAAGGAGCCACCAAAGTTTCCAAATACATGCCTACCAACTGCAAACCTTTCGGAACTGGGTCAAAGCGACAGGAATAGTACCACGTATCCAGAAACTCAGCTTTTCGACACAATCTTTGATGATGATAAGAGTTGTGTAGACATCAAAGATTTTATGGTGTCATATCTCATTCCATTTTGTACATCAACGCCGACTCATGCTACATACGTCATCAACACCTCGCCATGCTCTCTAATCCCCAGCATCGCGTCGTAGATACATCTTAACAAAGGAAAGAAATCCGCTCAAAACACAACCTTATCACAGCTTCGGCGTGGGGCCCGAGCGTAGTTATTCGCGCATGTTGACGACGCAACGGATGCAGTCGCCAGCCTTCATGTCACCGAAAGCCTGGTTGATCTTGTCGAGCGGTTGGCGATGGGTGATGAACTCGTCGACCTTGAGGTCTCCGCGCTTGTAGTCCGCGACGAGGCCGGGTAGTTGGGTGCGGCCCTTGACACCACCGAATGCGCAGCCTTTCCATACACGGCCGGTGACGAGCTGGAAGGGGCGAGTGGAGATTTCTTGGCCGGCGGCTGCGACACCGATGATGATAGACTCACCCCAGCCCTTGTGGCAGGCTTCGAGAGCAGCGCGCATGACGTTGACGTTTCCGGTGCAGTCGAATGTGTAGTCGCAGCCTCCGTCGGTCATTTCGATGAGCTTCTCCTGGATGGACTGGTTGCCGAGCTTGGTGGGGTTGACAAAGTGTGTGGCGCCGAACTTCTTGGCCCACTCCTCCTTTGCGTCGTTGACATCGACCACGATGATCTTGCCAGACTTGTTCTTGGCCGCTCCTTGGATGACGGATAGACCGACGCAGCCGGCGCCGAAGACGGCGACGTTGGATCCCTCTTCTACACCGTTCTTGCCGGCGGTAATGACGGCGGCGCCGTATCCGGTTGTGATTCCGCAGCCGAGCAGGCAGGTGCGGTCCATGGGGGCGTCTTCCTCAATGGCGACGACAGAGATATCGGCTACGACGGTGTATTGCGAGAAGGTGGATGTGCCCATGAAGTGGAGGAGGTCTTTGCCCTTGCAGCGGAAGCGCGAGGTACCGTCGGGCATGACACCTTTTCCTTGTGTGGCGCGGATCTTGCCGCAGAGGTTGGTCTTGCCAGACTTGCAGAACTTGCACTCTTTGCATTCGGGGGTGCTGTTTACGTTAGATATGAACATGGGGCTTGGAGGGCTTGATCATACTAGAGAGCAACGACGTGGTCGCCGGGCTTTACGTTGGTGACGCCCTCACCGACGGACTCGACGTATCCGGCACCTTCGTGACCGAGGACGATGGGGAAGGCACCCTCGGGGTCCTTGCCGGAGAGTGTGTAGGCATCTGTGTGGCAGACACCGGTGTAGTAGATCTGAATGCGGACTTCGTGTGCCCTGGGAGGAAGAACCTCAATCTCCTCGATGGAGAGGTCCTTGCCGGCTTCCCAAGCAACTGCAGCCTGTGGAGATGTCAGACTTCAATTCGTCGGCTGTTGTTTCCGAGATCGCGTTCGCCGGTAACATCAGCGTCATCGCGCATCGCGAATCGCGAATCTTCTGCGGATCCGCATGCCAAGCCTGATGATGGAATCTGATGCTCAGAAGAATGAAGCACGACGCGATGACGATGTCGCGTAGGAGGCAGAAGCTCGAGGGTACGTACCTTGCAGGTAATAGTCTAGGAACAACGTCAGCATAATTCAACGCGTCGCGCAGCTTCCAAAGCAAGAAGCGGGGCTCAGCATACCTTTCCAACGGTATCAGCAGACATTGTAGCGTTAATGTCTCGGTTCAGTAGTACGTGGGTAGAGTTTCAACGTGTGTCGAGAGGAAGTAACAAAGTACCAGCTCTTATATATACGAATACCGTCACCGGGAGGGGAAATAACACACTACTCCAGAAAGCTCGAGCGGCTCCGGTAGCTTTTGTACGAGGCGTTGTGGGGCTGGTCGCAGTGATAGGTAATCGTCATAACTGCCCCTCCATTGCCCCTCATTCGCCCTCGATTCGTCGGACGCGCCTCGGTGCTGCTGCGCGTAACGCTCGCGACTTGAGGCTCAAACTCGTAGCTGGCTCGGAGTTGGCGGCTCCAGGCCTAACTGCTGGATTTTGCGCGGTGATTGGTTGGGATGGTGCGTGGGCCGGGCATCTTAGCCACTTGTGGAGAAAGTGAGGTGTTATGTCATGGTCTCGGCATGTGAGCGCGGCGGATCTACTTGCCGGATCTGGACGGTGTATACGACAGGGTGATGTACATATATACGGCTTTTAGCAATGCGATTCATGGTGTTGAGGTGGTATGTATCGATAGCATATCGTTCGGCGCACTTGTGACTGAAATTGAAGAGCTTTCATTTGCCGATATCGTAGGGATGAGCCGACAGAAAAGACCACGCACAGTAGACAGATACCAGTAACGCCAGGAGAACCATGCAGCCAAGTTGAACCAAACACCAAACACCTCATACACGTATACTCATATCGTCGGACTACCCACCATCTTCCGCGGCTCCTCCTCCTCCAGTATCCTCTCCGGCGTCGAGCCCTTGCTCGCATCCCTCGAAAAGTCCTTTCCACCCTTGCTCTTGCTTCGCAGTCTGCCCCAGCTCATGGCCCTCTTCCTCTCCTTGCCCTTGCTATCCTCCTTGACATCATGACTCCACTTCCTCCTCACAGGCGGCCTTGCGTCATCCAGCCCGATCAATCTCCTCAACTCTGACAGCTCCGCATGTCCCCGTGTAGTCTTCATCCGGTGCGCCCACGTACACTCGCCGTTCTCGAACAGGAACTCTCCGCCGACTTGCTTGAAGTCGCCGCCCTTGAGCGCCTTGCGACCGGTGCCGAGAGACTGGAAGATGGATTGGACGGAGTTTATGAGGACGTGGGTTTGCATGTATTCAGGCTTGCTTCCCAGATTGTAGGTGCGCGTCATGCCGAGATGGTCGTAGAGTTTGCGCGTAGGGTCGGCGTAGATGGGGAAGGGGCAGCCCGTGATCTCGGTGTACATTGGGATGAGTTCGGGGCGTCCGCAGCCGATGACGGTTATGAAGGTGGGTGTGGGTAACGCGAGGAGGTCATCGGGTTTGATAGAGGAGGCGATTGTGCGGAGGTATTCCTGGCAGTTCTAGGATCTGTCAGCTCTGTCTACGAGAAGTGTGTAAGTGTACTTACGCCGCAGAAGAAATGCCGTATGAAGATGATCAGCTGCCTCGAAGCGACATGCGGCGCCTTGTAAAGCTCCTTGAAGGGCCTGCTCTGGCCTTGCGCATCCAACACCAGCAGGTCCTCCACCTTGCTTAGGTCCTTGTCGGTGGGTATGTCGTTGTTGACGTCGACGGTGCCCTCAAACTCCTCCTGTTCCTTCTGCAAGACGGGTGTTTGGCTCGACGGCGAGAACGGCGGCGTCATGCTGTCTGCGGCGTCGACCGACAGCTTGGGGTCAGCCTGGTGGCCGGTTTGTGAGTGGGGTGGTGAGGGAAGTTGCGTTGTTGACAGCGGCGGTGCGGAAGTCGCGATGGGCGCAGGCACCTCGGCGGCCTTCTTGCTATCTGACTCTTCCATGGTGACGGTGGGAAGCTTGCGATAGGTGAGTCAGGAGGTCGGGCGCGTATGTTGTGATGTATCTCTGTCCGGTGTTACTCAGCTCACGGATGCCAGCTGGGCCGGAGCTAGAGGGCCGCTGAAATGGTGATCGCTCGGGGGGCGCAGCACTCTCGATACGAAAGGGCGTAAATGGAGTCTACCGGTTAGCAAGTATAGAATGTCGGCAAGTACACGAGGTGTGGAAGGGTTGGATATTTGAACAAAGACCCGAAACACCGCCAGACTTGCGACGCGCTGTGAGACGCAGGTACACGCAGCGACGTCAGCGCCTGTTGAAACCTGCCTGTTAGCTCCCGCTGTCGTGTTAGCCGTGATGCTTGTGTGGAATAGCGGCGTCCGCTTCCAGTACTAGGTCTTCTTTCTTTTTTCGCATTGCGCATGGTTGCTTGCGCGATAAGTGAAGATGCGGTGGGCTTGACGCGTTGGCAGCCGTCAGTCGTGTTGGCGTGAGGCTTGCCGTGTCTCAGGGTACGCGCAGGGGCGGCTGCAGGTGCGCTAGCGATATTCTTGGAACAACATCACGACGGGTGGCTTCGCACTTCATCCTTCGCTCCATTTTGTCTATCATCGCGGGTACTAAGAAGCATTTCCTAATTTTTGATAGTGTACAGTCCGCCATACGCCCGTTCCCGATGCAGGGCTCCATGTAGCCCCACCTCCCCTCAGCCCTTCAAAGCTACCTTTGACTTGATCCGATGAAGCACGTCAGTATACCTGCTGTAGTTGGGGAAGTCCGCCCCCTGGCAGTCCCTCTTGACCTCCACAGCCTTGCCCGCAGTCAACTCCGCCATACCAAGGTCTCCCCTGAGCTCACAGACTAGCGCAATATCGAGGAATCTGACCAAACGTTAGCAAACATGTCAAGAGCAAAACCCATTCTGACGACGACATGGCCTTCACAAGCGTTGGGGATTTTCGAAATCCCAGCCTGGGGTTAGTCACGCCGATTGCCACTTACAAATTTGCCAGCCTGGCGGTATAGTCCCCTTCAGCCTTGTGTAAAGCCGCCAACTGCAACAGCTTCTTCACGAAGTCATCTCGCTGTGCGCCTTTTTCCAGGTTTGCACCACGGAAGAACCTCGTCTCACGCTCCAGCTCTTGTAACCGGAATCGCCGCTCTGCACTCTGGTATCCGTATGATGTCTCGTCCTCTTCGTCGTCGCTGCAGGCCGGGCAATCGCAGGTGAAGCCGTAGTGCTTGAGCTCGTATACGCGGAGCGACTTGTCATGGATCATGTCGCAGTAAGATAGCGTAATCTCCTCGCCCGCGGCGATGGGATTCATGACGTGGATAGTCTCTTTGCCGATGGAGGCGTTCCAAGAGAAGCAGGCGTTTGGGTTGCAAGAGTGGTTGAAGCGGGCGGCATGCGGAAATACTGCGGCGCCTGCATTCATCTCCATACAGTTTGTCTGGAATATACTGATCAGACTTGGTGAGGGATCGGTTCGCGCTTTGTGTTGTTCCTTGATTCGAAGAACTTCTTGGGGTGGGACTGATTCGTGGATGCGCGACGGCCATTTATTCGGATCCTGGCCGTGTGAGGAGTGAAGTGTGTAGTAGAGTGTCTGTTGCGAAGGGGTGAGGCTGTCGAAGGCTTTCTGAACATCGGAGAGCATGTAGTCGCCGACCGGGACGATCAGGAGGGGGTCCTCCGCGAGGATGCGTGTACCGCGCGGAATGGGTTTGAGGCTGACGCATCCGTAGCCTTTTCCGGGAATGGCGCGTACTTCATAGTACTCGTTGCCTACTACAGCAGTTGTTAGCGTCGCGGATATCATATGGATGCGCATGCCTGGTACAGCATGCGCGACTGTTTCGACGGGATGCCGAAGCACTCCAACTTACCTGGCGATGTGGGGATTATACCGAGTTCCATGGCGATGGTGTGGTGGGTGATGCAGGTTGAAGGTGTTGAGAGCTTGAGATAGGCAGGCACGACCCGCCTATGAGTGTTTGCTATCCGTGCGATGACGGAGCAAGCTTTTTGACTTACGCGACTTTCAGTCTCTGCTGTCGCCTTCGCTTGCGCATACGTCATGGTGAGAGGTGAGAGTACGCTTCTTGTCTGCTTCGACATCTTGCAGCCGGTACATGAATATACACCGAACATACAATATATCTGAGCCGACCGCATCCGACCACACACTGTCTCATCCCATTCCCGCTATCTTCTTATCTTGAGCGACGCCGCGCATGTCACTACTGGGGACTCTTCAAAGTCACTCCACTAACATTAGGGTCTGGAGCATTGCGCTGTATATTCCATCAACATCTGCAAAGACACATGGCACCGAGTACCTTCCCGAGTAGTCAAGACACATCGGCGGTCGAATACAACTGGCATATTCCATTCTGACTACGCTGCACACTCAACAGCTGAACATCGCTCGTAACAGATCCCATCCATCCATCTCTCTCATTTCACCCATCCCGCTCAATCACCTCTCCCACCTAACTCTTCCACTCCAACCACCGATCAGACTTGCCTCACGTCTTCTCAACCTCCTCCGTGATCTCTACCGGCCCGCCATGACCTGAGCATTTATCGACAACCTAACGATTGTTACCAGGTCAGCTCCTGTCTCGCACAGACGATTCTTCAAAGCGGAAGAGCCCTTACTTAAATAATTTCCTTGTCCGACTTCGTCCAGTTTATACAACCATGCCCCGGGCAGCGGGTCGGGCATGTGATGATTGTACGTGAGCCTTCGCACTTGTACTCGCAGCCGTTGAAGATGACTTTGTGGACTCGGCACATGATGGTTTTAAAGGAGTTGCGTAGATGATGTGTGAGGCTTTAGATTTGATGCCTAGTGTGCTTGGGGGGATGTTGGATATTGTGCTGCTGATAATGGATTGCTGGTATGATGGATGTTGTTGTTTTGCTGCATGTATGATTTGTGTGTCAAAACAGAAGGAGATCGAAGGCTTTATACATTCATGCCGCTGTCACAGGAAAATGTTCGTTGGAATGCAGCTTCACGAATGGTTGATCGTGTCTTCATGATCGTTGATAATTGAAGCATCAAACATGGATATGTTGACATCTTGTGATTATTCCTGAGAACGCACGATGTGAACGCTCGGTTTGATCAAGTGGCGACCACAGCGACACTGTATTCCTAAGTTTCACACTTATTCCTGGAGGATACGTGGACGTGCAACATGAAGTAGACGCTCCAACGAGACTCATGTATTCGGCAAGGCCTTCACACAAAATAAGCTTCTTCGTACTCTCTTCGATCGCATATCCAAAGATCAAGCTGTCAGAACTTTATTACACCCTAAATTCAGTCGATCATCACAAGCAGACCATAGCAGAAGCATTTCGTACATCATTCATTCATTCATTGATACATCAATCAAACATGTCCTATGTCATCCGCCAAACAAATCGCGTTTCCATCTCGCTATCCTCCTGTCCTCGTGGTCGCTTCTCTCCTGAAGGAAAATGACGAAGGTCTCTCCTCAATCATCTGCAGGGGTTATTACACTTCCCCGTGCTCCTTCTCGCCCTAAGAAAATTTGGCTCTGAGCACGCGAATCCGTTTCTCTTTCCCAGGCAGGATTTGACGAACTCGTTCTTGGAATGGCCACAGCCCATGTATAACACTGGTTCGTAGGTGCACATGGTGATGTTTTGTGGTTCGAGGAAGGGTTCTTTTGAGTACGGTGGTATGCGGAAGTGGTAGTTGAATTGGGAGGGGATTTGTTGAGAAACTTGGTAGGCTTTTGAAACTGGTAGTGTGGTTTTGGTAGTATTGCTTGATGTAGTAGTGGTAGTGGTAGTTGTGGAGAAGCAAAAGAGCGTGGATTCGAGAGCTTATATACCGCATTCGAGTACTTCACACTGGAAGAGAGTGTGCTGGCGGTGTCTATGTATACGCCCGGGTTAGATTTGACAATTTGCGTATGCAGTTCTTTCAATATGTCTGCTCCTTGACGTGGTTTTGGAAATAGACCCGGTCGACCTGCGCCAGGGAGTGTGGAAGGCTGATCGCGTCGGCCTCGAATTATAACGGTATAATGACTGGAATGGGGGTATTCTTGCGAGTCTTGTGTGCGTGGGTCGAACGCTGTCGTGACCGCTGGTGATGCGCGTGGCGGCTACGTAGGCCAAAATAGCTTCCAGTGACTTCATCTTGTGCGTTGTAGCTGCCAGGCTGTAGTTTGAGGTAGGCGGACAGCTCAAGTTCGAGCTCTTCAACGCTTGATGGTCACATGGTTCCCAAGCGTCAGATTACCCAAAACCCAATCCCACGACAGTCAGAGATCCAGTCCAACCCGAAGTGCGTGTCACAATGCAGCTCACCACAATGTCCTTCCGCCTCCTTCAGTAGCTCTATATTCTTGGGTTGCAAAATGGGTTCGCTGCCTCGCCTCTCATGTTCACCATGCCTGTTGAGATCTCTTCGAAAGCATTCGGTCGGAAGACTCAAATGCCTCGTCAACGATGAGAAGACGTGGGTGTTGTTGATCTTGAGGTGTGGACAGACAGGCCTGTCCCAGGCAGCGAGTGCCTCCTGGACGTCTTGCAGAGATAACACAATGCCATCGGGGCGATACAAGAGATGGAAATGCGATACGGCTTTTGCGCGGTTGGAGCTCCGTTCTACTTCGATATAGGGAGGCATTACGCCCTGCTTTGCGTAACTGTGGCGGCTACATCGACATAGCCAAGGCCCATATTTGCTATAGAGGCTACGCAGTTGAGTCATGTGAAGGCCTTGTGCTCGCATATGGCCAAGATAGCTTTCTTCCACTTTAGCCTGCGCGTTGTAGCTGCCGGGGCGAGCTTTGGTTCATCCTGAGAAGTCGTCGAACACTGGTTTTGGCGTGGTCGTAATGACTGTTTGCGCGACTTTGGCTGCTCTGCAGTGTAAGGAGGCGGGTCTTCGCTGTGTATTGTCGGCCCTGGAATGTTCTGTAACCAAGAGTGTATGTCGGGCGCTGTGGTACTGCTTGTCACAGTCTTGTTGCTGCTCTTGCGTGTCGCAGAGTTTTTGATGTTTGGTGCATGTCGGCTCGAGTGATCTGGTTTGCTACCCTGACGGGAGCGATCCAGGGGATTCGCGATGGTGATCTGGATGTTCAGGCACATTGTGAAAGACGTTGGTCATGAATACAAATTCTATGGGCTTGTAGAAGTCTTTGTAGGTTGTGAGTTTTCAGCAAACGTTAGCGTCTCGTCTCCCATGGTTCGTCTTCGACGAGACCCGTGTGCGATGAACGTTACAAGCAACAGCCTCCCAATTTGGTAGCGCTTCTATCATGGCGGCTGTGATTGGCCGGGCTATCATGGGTCGGGGCGGGACCATTGTTCGAGTTTCATTTGGGAGTAATTTGCGCAAACGTGCTGGTATGATGAAGATCTAGATGTGCGACAGACTGAACACGAACAGACAGGAAGGAAACGCGTTGTGCGACTGGGGTTGTTGTGTGACGGATGTTGAGGAGACGAGAAGGTGCGACAACTGGATGGGTGGAAGGGAAGGCGCTGCGGAGACTAGTCTCTTCTGGGGTGCGCTAGCCGTCATCTGGCCGATCATCTCCCAGCCACCGCACCCTTTTCCTTCCCATCAGACGAAACGTGTTCGAACCCACATGCTGCAGGTGTTTAACGTGTTCTACATTCGCACCCACACAAGGGGAAAAGGCTGCAGCCTACATCAGGATGAGAACATGTGAATAGGTGACCCAACGTCAACGTGGGCTGCACACTCCTTCGCCCAGCTTAATGCCTCTGCAACCAAGCCAAAACCTTCTCAGCAATCTCTAGACTGTTCCTCTCCATGAAGAACATATGTCCATTGCCATGAAGACCCTCGTTCCTCAATTTCATGTGCTCCACGTTCACACCTGCCTGTCGCATGTACTCTACAGTGCAATGATCGTACACCGCATGGTAGCTCGCCTCTGACGTCACTGTCAGCACCGGTATCTGCGCCAAATTCACCAACTGCTTCGCCGGCTCATCCTGCATGATACATTCACTCGAATTGACGTCTCTTGCAGGAACAACAACAGTCTGGATGTACGTCGCATTGGGTCCCGCCGACGGCTCGTAAGCGACTTCGAGCTCAGTGATGCCGAAAGGTCGCGCGGGACCTGATCCAAAAATCCTTCCGATGAATGGCGGACCCGCCGGTTCGAGCGCTACGATACTCTTGACTAGATGAGGGCGGAGGTCTCCGGCTCGCCATCCATATGCGCCGGCCTGGCTGTGCGCAATGATGTGCGCTGGACCACCGATCTTGTCGAGAAGGGCCGTGTATGCTTTGGCGTTCTCGGTTTCAGATATTAGGTTGTCGGCCTGGTACTGGACTTGCGCCGCATAGAAGGCGTCGAAGATCGGATCGCCTGCTTTGCCAGTCCCGGGCCATTGCGTGTGCGACCGTGCTTGCGGCCAGAGGCTATGCGATGACGTTGAAGTGAACAGTTGCTCGATGAGCGCAGTACTGGAGCTTTTCATTGTGCCTGTGTTCGGCAACCACGGAGAACGACCGCGCGATGGCTGATCGCTCAGATAGACAGTATAGCCGTGCGATAAGAAGAATGAAGCCCAGCCTGGCCGACCATCTGGTGTATCGAGGAAAGTTGTTCCAGTCTGACCAGTTCCGTGCATGAAGACGAGGGGATAGTCTTGGGTTGGCTTTGCTGGGGTGAGCTTCTCAACATAGATCTGGTTGACCATGTACTGCGCGGTCGTGTTTCCTACCTATACGATCAGCATTCACTGGGAGTTTAGAAAGAAAAGACTAGCTTGCCCTCTAAGAAGACTGCGCCCTGAAGTTATGTACGGCATTTGGTTTTGCAATAAGTCAGAGTAAAATGCAGTGCACTCCTTCAGGGCATGGTACCTGTAGCTGTGAGGGAAGAGTTCAGTCGTCAATTTCGCGTGACTTACTGACAGGTTCTGATACTCTCCGCCAACGTAGAAGAACTCGCGTTGTGGTGGAAGCACCTCGCCAAAGCCATTGATCCAGCTATTTGCGCCGAGTAATGGCGCCAGCCATGAAGTCACGTTGCTAAAGAATAGCATCTCGAGGTCGGTAACCGACTGAAGGAGGTGCTGTTGGCTACGGAATAGCTGCAATTCTTGTGGAAGAGTGAGAGCGATGGATGTATGTTCAGGTTGACGTGGTGGTGGCTTGGCAGCTTACATGCGCCTTCCACAACAGTCATAGGCCTACCGAATCTTTGGGTTCATTTCGCACCACTTGACATCATACGAAACTTCACAAGAACATCCAGTAAGTTTGCGACGCGCACAGAAACGGGTTTACTATCTACTTTTCAATTATGCCTACTATCTCGGGCTACGACGTTGAAGGCGAGCGCGACGAGTGGGTGGTGGCGGCGGTGATGTAGGCGGCACGCGTGGTTTTGATGTTGACCCCGAAGGGTGCTGCGCCTCCGAAGTGCATCTCGCTGCACTATTCCGCGCGAGAGGTGTCATTCTTCAGGGTCTGAAATAGTCAGAGTCATATCCTATCGAACTACATAATTTATTACTTACGTTGTAGGCGGCGAGGAGGTCCTCATAGTCCTTACGCCTCGCCCAGCCGTCACGCTGGTAGGCGCGCGCATCCTCCGCGATCTCCAAAATGCGCTTTTCGCGCACGTTTCGTCGCCGCTGGAAGTACATGTAGGCGCCCAACCGAAGCGACAGCACCACAAGGATCCCGAAGACCCAAACGTTACCCATTTTGATTTTTGGGGACTACGTAGTGCGAAAAACGAAAAAAACGTCGAAGAAAAAAGGCGAGGAGACTTCAAGAGATTTGAGAGGGGTTCGTTGCTACAGGAGGAATGTGGACATGTCTACGGTGCAGTCTTGTGGACTCTACCGGTTTACTCTTTCCCAGATACTCGGCTCACGACTTCTTCGTCCCACGCACTACCCACAACGGATCCAAATGATCTGGAAGTCGCTGCGAACTCACAAGCACCGTCCCCTGATCATCCGTGACGCGCATGCCGTTTTCATCCCTCGCGCAAAGATCCACTATCTGCACATCCTTCCATCCCGCGAAATGCAGGTAATCGCCCACAAACTCGAGTCGCGAGCGCTCATCTAGCATCATCCATCTTCTCACGACCTTGTTTGGAAAGCACCGGTTGCTAATAACGAGATGAACGTTTCCACCCTCTTTCGTGGCCTCCAAAAGTTTCTTGCAAACCTCTAGCGGGTTGTTGAGGTAGTCAATGCTGACGACGCAGGTCGTTGCGTCGAATTGCAAAATCTGGCCATTTTCCCATGCAGTTCGTACGTCGTGTGGTGGTTTGTTCAGGTCAAGCACTCGCCAGCGAGCGGGGCCCTGGAACACGCCATTAACTGCCATTTCTTCCTCATTGAGTCCCACGCCATAAACTTCCAATCCTCCCTTCTGGATGGCTTCCTTGACCGATAATGGGTAGAATGACTTCCAACTCGTGCACATGTCCATTATTCTCCCAGTCTTCGGTAATGCGGTATCGTAATACTGTGTCAACCGCGCAATTGACGGGTCATCAATATGCGTAACGAGTCTGGGTTGTCGGTAGAATACGCCATCGTCATTTTCATCGTATCGCACGAAGTCCGAATCGGTATACGGCCAATTGTCGTATGTCGGGGCATACGGTGTTGCGGGAAAGGTTGCGGAAGTCATGTTTGCGACGGTGTAGCCGGCGAAGAAGTTGAAGGGGATGGAGCGGTTAAGTGACGAGTATGCGCGCCATGGGGTGGCGAAGTTTGGTTTGATGTTGCGAAGATAGCGAGGGAGGGACATGGGTTGAGGATATCAGGGAGGGCGAAGCATAGGAAGTTTGCTGGGAAGGCGCGTTCGGTTGGTGTGGGTGAAATACGGATGATGACGTCATGACACGCGGACTCACGTGCCGACGCGAAGTGCAATCCTATGACTTACCACTGCCGCCTCGTCAAAGGCTCTAGCATACATTAGGTCTTCGTACATTAGAGGATACGACATGTATCTAGTCGGTGGATGCAGTGGAACTGGCCCCCACGACATTATGAGCGCCTCGCTGCAGGTACGGGTCGGCTATTCCGAGCATCGGAACTGGTATCCCGAGCTTGCGGGGTATCTCCATCCACTACCATAAAACTATATTGATGATCATGATCAATCTTCGAATGTTTGCGCCCAAGCTTCAAGATGACAGCTATTCTCACAACCGCTAGACTGGTCTTCAAGGACTCAGCTGCGCGGCAAAAAGCCATCGACGCGTTTCACAAGATCATCGAGTTCACAACACCACACGAGCCGAAGGTGTTGCAGTATGTCTGCGCATTACCGGTGGATGACAGTTCGCGGACTGAGATATATATGATTGAGGAGTAAGTTCTCGATTGAGATAGAAGATCATGTCACTAACCGTGCTAGATACGCGAATCAAGCAGCAAGTGATGCGCATCTGACTACCAAGCCTGTACAAGACCTCATACAACTCTTTACCACCGGAGATGTCCTTGCTCAGCCACCAGAAGTCCACAACTGCCCGATTATCACCAAGAAAACATCATCACTAGTACCGATCTCATCAAGTCCGGCCATCGTTCTGTTGAACATTCCCTCCAAACCAGACACATCCGCCACCAGACAGGCCGAAAAGTGGAGTGAGCTGTCGCAGATCGTGATGAAGAGCGTGAGAGGCGTGAACTCATTTACCGTCGTCGAAGACCGAGAAGCGAAAAGTACACGTGTCGAATGCGTACTGCGGAGTTGGGATGCGTTTGCTGCATATCAGGATTTCATGGTCGATGGGCGGAGAGATGGGGCGGAATTGGTGAAGATCAGGCCAATTGATGGCTTTGTTGGACGTGATAGTTCGAGCAAGTTGTGAATGAGAAGTCAGAGAATAGCAGCGACCCAGGAACTTGTCACGACTATCCACCCTGCTCATGAGTCCGACTCTTCGTCTGCGTGATCCACATGTCAAGCCAAAAATCGTGAACTGGCGATCCCGCCTGACTAGCCCCACGGGTCAAGCGTCGTTGCCCATATAAATGATGCCAGTAGTCGCCTAGATCTGCTCTCGTCGTGCCGTGTATGCCATATCGTCGCGGGAGAATGTCGGCAAACCATCCGAACGAGCGATGAGGCTGGAATGAGGTGTCAGTGTGTGGAATTGGATAATCGCTGGACATCAAACACCGGCGATAGCAGACTGACGCACTGCGGAATGTTGAAGATGTCTCTAGTGTTAACGCCAGCTAGCTATGATTTCAAGAGTCCTAAAACTTCTTCGTCTCCCCAATGCGACGCATGATCATCTGTTTGTTGGTGCAAGACGCTGGCGGCGAAAGCCAAAGTTCAACCATTCGTGAGGCTCCGTTGTGTTCAACCCAGCAATGTAGTCGACGAGGACAGGTGTGACCGCGGTACATGCAGTACCCCGGGGAGCGTACGACCTCGGGCCAACTAATGTTATGATTGATGGTCTGACGTGCATAACCCGTCATCCTGGAAATGAGCCATCCTTTGTCTGGGACCGCCTAGTGCACGCTTAGTCCTGCGCGTCTCTTTATTGATGTTGGTAGTTTGCAATTCATGATCGGCCTTGGCGAATGTCCACTACTGGGAAGGAGATCGATATCTCCTGGATGAGGCGAGGAATTACTGGAACTAGCAGAGTCTTATAGGGAAATAGCAACATACCTTATTCCAACGAAGATCGTTCACTGTAAGTGTATCTTCTGGTCCACCATCGTAATCTTGGTTGCTAGCGTTCAACTCCAGGAGACCTGCGTTAGGTGCCTCTTTTGCCTCCCCTTCGCTTCTCATGATGCATGATTCCTCAAGCTTCATCCGCAGCCACAGACCTTTCTGGTTCCCTTCTACTTGTTGGGAGAGACACCATTTGTAGAGTTCTGCGGAGTATTGTCGGCGTCCAGGTCCGTGCCGAATGTTTGCAGCCATTAGCGTGTCATAGACGATGGATCGGTCGCAGCCAGCTTCGATAACAGCAAATCGCACTGTGTCCAGGTCGGCAGGTCGGCCTAGGCGTCTATTGTGGTTGAACAGCTCTACTGCCTCAAGATTGTGTTCCAGCATGGCATTTTTTCTTGCAGCGACAGCCGTATGCGCAACTTCAGGGTTCGTCCAGTCGACAGTCATCGCTGTAATCCAGAGTAAGAATCGTAAGAACTCGACTTTGTCTTGGGTCCACGAGCCCGTGAATAGCTTCTTTGGTAGGCGTCCCTTCACAAAAGCGAGTCGAGGAAAATGACTTCTAGAGAAGACCATCTGTGTGGCATCTTGGAAGTCGGGCGGCCACTGGGCGTCGAAGCAGCCTTCATCTGTCGTCAGGCCACAGAGACATCCTGGAGGTTCAAATCGTCGCACGATCCACGACTTGAAGAAATACCACGTCATCCATCTACTGGCGAAGATGAAGGTTTGAGCTGCTGTCTGCTCGGCGCGCTTGCCTCGTACCTCAGTGAGGTAGTAGTCGCATGTTGAGTTGTAGATGTACTCGGATGACAGTCGTGCTGCGATGTGATGCGAAGCTTGAATGAGCGCGATGTTATGTTCGGCGGCGATGAAGATGGGTTGAAGAAGCTCGACTGGTAGACACTCGATCGGGGCGAGACCCATCTTATATATGAACTGCAGGATAGGTGCGGCAAAGGTGAGAATGAAGCAGTCGCTGATTTGCAAGAAGCCAAACGTCACGAGGCTGAAGTTGTAAACGTGTTCTTGAAAGACGTCGACGCCGCATCGTGGACAACTCGGTGTAGCATTGGCCGACTAGGCATCAGCCCCCGCATTTGCCCATTGAGGTATGCCGCTAATTACCCCACGCGGTGCTAGCGTGGTCGCGGGTGTCATCCGAGGCTCGCACCCTTCCATCGCAACATCACCACCTTCTTTTCGACACCAACCTAGGGGACAGGCGCACCAACACTGCTCCCCTGGATTACGCAATATAAATCTCACGAAAGCAGGTCCCACTTCACTAGGCGCGATCGAACTGCGATGATAGAATATTCACCACGATTGCGCTTTCATGATATTGATGCTGGGTGCGCGCCGGCCCCAGTGTGAACACGTGCTCAGAACTTTCAGTATATGATGCTGAGTATTGTGCATCTTGGGGTATCTCACGGCCGAGCCATGTTCTCCAACCCCATGCTCCAGAAGTCGGCAATTTCCTTAATTCTACACTCTCCGAGGAGCAGTCATGTCTACATCGAAAGAGCTCGAGAGACGCGCCTTTATTCTAGGCCGACACTACTACTACTGCGCGATGTGCAATGTCTGTCGATAGCGAATGAGATCAGCTTTTCTGAAGCCTAGCGACATTAGGGCGGGGTATCTTTCGGCATTACAGCGGGCACAGTCATGCATCAGCTTCGACCTGTAAGCTTCAACGCATCACTGTCAACTCGCGGAGCTTCGGTATCTCCGTCCGTACCTCGCGCATTCTCGCTGCGACAGTACCACCTACATAAGGTAGAGCTTGAATTAGCTGCCAATACACGAACTTTCCATCATGGCTGATCTCGACCCGAGTATTTTGTTCAATGTGAAAGGGCTAGTGGCTGTGGTTACGGGCGGAGGAACAGGTGGGGATGAAATCTTTCCTGACATGCAGGTTCATTGATTTATGAATAGGCATCGGATTAATGATAGCGCAAGCACTTGAAGCGAATGGTGCAATCGTGTACATCCTAGGGCGCCGAGAGGAAGTGCTGAAGCAGGCAGCCAGCACAGCGGTATGTTCGTGGAACGACGTGCTAGACTATGCTAACACGTTATTTTAGAAACACGGAAACATACATCACTTCAAGACCGATGTGACATCCAAATCCGATCTCTCCGCAGCGGTCGATCACATCGCTGCCAAATCCGGCTACGTCAATCTTGTTGTCGCCAACTCTGGCATCCAAGGTCCAACACTGAAAGGTTTGGAAAAGGGTGCGTCAATCACCGAATTTCGCGACCACCTATGGAACTGGGATATGGACGAGTTCACGCAAACCTTTGCGGTGAATACTACTTCGGCTTTCTTCACGGTCGTCGCATTCCTTGAGCTACTCGATAAAGGCAACAAAGCCGGCAACATTGAGCAGAAGAGTCAAGTTATATGTATCAGCAGTGCGGGTGCTTTTAACCGCGTACCGATGGCGGGCTATGCGTATGCTGGCTCCAAGTCGGCAGCAGTACACATCATGAAGGCATTGGCGACGACGTTGGTGCCTTACGATATTCGCTCCAATGTACTCGCGCCTGGCTGTAAGTCCAAGCGTTCCCTTCCTAGTGCCTTTTGCTTACTAGCGTCCGACAGTATATCCTAGTGAAATGACCGCGGGCATGCTCAATCAGGAGACGTGGCCGAGGGACTTCATACCCGATCAAAGAGCTGGCAACATCAAGGATATGGCAGGCGCAATACTGTTCCTCACTAGTAGAGCCGGAGGTTATGTGAATGGGAATGTCTTGCTTACGGACGGGGGGCGCTTGAGTATCCTGCCTGCGACATACTGAGCTAGCCTTAATATTCAGCTTGGACAGGAAGAATGTAGTGTGCCCCGCCGTACAATACTCAAGCTTTGCCAACCGCAAGGGCCGGCGCGCAAATGCTTATCTACTCGTGAATGTATGACGTGTTGGTTCGCCATCGTGAATTCCCGGCTCGATTCGGTGGGTTTTGCTGGCTTGTTCATGTTCTGTGGTGCGAGACGGTGGGTTCTGACGCGTATTTATCCGGTCAGCCACGAAGAGTTTGTGCAAAGGCTGCCGATCACCCAATGCCATCGAAGTTGGAAGAACACCGAATCCCATTCCCATTAACTAATGTCGCAACAACTACACTACCGTTACAACTCTTTGCCTTTCGTGTGGATAGGATAGGCCCATGGAATGCGGCCTTGAATGCGGTCCTCGCCGAAGACGTAGTCCAATACCCTACTTTGCTTCATTCGCGGAGCCACAACATACTTCATCAAGAGCCACTGGAAAGCGTAAAGCGGATAGATGAATCTGCCCACGAACCAGTAGATCGGTGTAGCCCACGCGTGGCTTCGAGTCGCGGCAGCCGAGACGCCAAAGTCGAACGCAGTTGGCTCTTTCCGCGAAGATTGGTATTCCTGGAAGATTTGTTGGAGTTCACCGAAGCCAATATCAGAACCTGCACTTGACTTTGTCGCGTTGTGTAGTAGGTTGCAAAGCAATGCGACGTCTTGGATGCCGTTTGTGAATCCCAGGCCGGCATTTGGCGTGAACTTGTGGCATGCGTCGCCCGCGAGTACGATGCGTCCCAAGCTCCAATGCTCGAGTACGCCCTCGTCCAGATTTGACATGCCTGCGGTCGAGCTGTCGTAGATGTCCTTGACCTTCAAGTCGTCGTTGACAGGCCAGTTTGCGAAGCTAGCGGCGAAGTCATCCATTTCCTCCTTTGTGTATCGTTTCGGCTCCTGGGTCGGTTCTGGCAGCTTTTCGTACAGCAATAACCAAGCGCGTTCACGGCCAGTGATCCACATGAGAGAGCGGTCTTTGCCCTGTGTGTTGTTTCCCAGACCAGCTGCGCATGGGCGCGGTGTGTTGGACCATAGACAACGGTAGTGGGCGGAGAACGGCGGTTCCGGGTTGCGGCAGGCTGAAAAGCGGTCCTCTGCTGAGAGATTGTGCATGATCTTGCGTGTTTGGCTGTGCACTCCGTCGGCGCCAAGGACCATGGATCCGGTAAACGTCGTGCCATTCGCGCAGGTGACTACGACGCCAGTTTCGGTCGTCGCGATGTCGACCACTTTCTGGCCGACACAGTATTTCTTTCTTGCTTCGTCCGGGAGGCCTTCTAAGAGGGCTTGTACGAGTTCGGCGCGATGAAAGGCGATTGGCTCGAGGCCGAAGCTGTGCTGAGTAAGTGGATGATCAAAGATGGGTTGGACCAATGGGCAGAACTTACTTGTCTTTGACGATCTGGACGGACGTGCCGTCTGCGAACTTCTTGCCATCCTTAGTGAAGGACTTATTATTCAAAACTCTCTGTCCGATTGAAAGCAGCTTGTCAAGCAGACCGAGTTGTTGCATTATCCGCATAGCATGTGCTCCGAGGATGAGACTGGCGCCGACATCGACAATGACATCATCTCTGCGTTCAAGAACGACAAAGTCTATGTTGGCTAGATGTAATGCATGAGCAGCTGTCAGTCCCGTCGGTCCGCCGCCAATCACGATGACTTTGAAGGGTTCGCTTGTCATACTATGGACTGAGGATGTGAAGTGGTAAACATGCTCCACCCCACAAGCTTTGAGATGCTATATATCTGTACACGCGACATTGGGATCACACTGAGCGCCTGTGGGTCGTGCAATTGCCGATGAAGCCTCGCCATGTAGCACATCGTAGGTAGATCTCGGGAACCGAAGTACACCCGGTTGTGTGGATAACTTCAACATGCTCGGCCGAGGAGGGTGAACAACAGTCATAAGAAGTTCGCACCTTCGTGGGGATCGTGAGGGTGAGGCTCAGTGGATTCGTTGCGACAGCAGTGTAATGCCGATGGATTTCTTTCGAAGGGCGCGCGTGAGCCGAAGACGCATGCGACCGGGTGATGCTTGGTGGCCCTGGGCATTGCGAAACCTCGTTGTCGCATGCAAGTGGCAACAAGAATGTCAAACAGCCCGACGCGCATGATGTCGATGCTCAGGGCATGGGTTCTGGAGGTTTACTGCGAATAGTGAGAGAAAGAAGGAACTGTCGCGTAAGCATGTGAACGCCTGATCTTGTGAGTCAGGCCGCTGCGACCCGGTGACGACGCATCTTTTGCATGCTTTGAGATCGTGATTGTGATGTAGGCACTGTGTTCAGGTTTGCATGAGGCGAAAGGGCACCAAGGTGTTGTTCAACGTTCTTTCTATGTGATCGTGATGATGTGGACACGCGTAGAGGATCGGAAACCCGCTGCCGCCAACACTAGCGTGCCAAGCTTCGATCCTCATCCCAAGCTTGTCGGGATCTCAATCTCCGCACCGCCGTCCTTCCACGCATCCTCAGAACAACAGCGCCAACTCCTCGTTCGAGCAAAGAATCCTGAAAGACCCAGAGGCTACGTTGACGTTGGAATACCTACTTTGCATGTTTTCGTCTCAATGTAGCCAGCAGACCCGTTCGGCCTTTTCCTTTCAGATACCCTCCTTTATCCACTTCGTCGCCAACTCAAGACATACCCTAGCATCAAGCCAGGGCGCGGTCGCAAGTTCCCTTTGAAAGGATTCGATGTTCCTAATTTCCGCTATGTCAAACCGAAATTTCAGGTTCGATACGCGAAGTATCGCAGCGCCGCTTGCGTCCTTGAAAAACTCTGCAGTCTCCATATCATCGAGTGCGCTATTGTGGGCGATGGTTGCTACCGAACGTAGATCCTCTCCACCTATCACTAAGCTGAGAAACAAGCCCTGCGCCACGACGTCTATCCACAAGTCATTTGTGTCCAAGTACGGCACAGCATAGCTGATGTTGACTTGAGGATGCTGCCGGCAGTATCCGGCCAGCTCGAACATGACATCTTTGGGTTCAAGCGACTGGTTGAGCCTTGGCACCTGTCTATGACTGCTTGACCAGAGGTAAATGTCACGGAAACGTCCCCGTTTAGTCGCTGCGCAGTTCCGGATGAAAGTCAGGAAAAGTTGTCCAGGGCCGAATTTATCACTCCAGTGGGTAAAAAAATGCACTCGGTTAACTTGGAGCTCCAGCCCCGCGGTCTCCTTGTACAACTGGCGACAGGTCAATTTCAGCTGATTGACGTGGTCTTTGCATTCTGAGCGGTAGGCTCCGCAGGGGATGAAGCGTGGGATGTTGTGGCCGTCAAATCCATCGTCGCTAGGCACACCCTCATAGGACCTCACACCGCTGTCGAACTTCAACTCGTCGTCGGTCTGAAGTGCGTACTCGTATATGCGGTTGCGCAGCTCGCCAGGCAGTCGGAGCAGAGGGGATGTGCTGTCGGCGATGGTAGGACCTGCTGGATCACACTGGTGCGCATTGTTTGGCGATGTTGAATGCATCTTTAAGCTTTACGATCTGTCAGCAATTGCAAAATTAACGGTGTCTACGAGTGACTGACGTGGACGTGGTCTTGGAGCTTGATGAGAACCTGGTGCGCTTCTCGCGGTACCAGCGACGCAGACGATGTCGAAGACCTCCCGTCATGTCGGCGGAAGGAACGATGCTTTGGAGTCGAATACCCGGTGCGCGCGGATGTCGTTGTTTGGCAAGATCTCTGCGCGGGCTGGGGAGCGAAGATTCTCGCCCTATCGAATCTTTCTCACCTTCACTTTGTGCACGGTCCACGTCCTCCAGCCCGCCTAGTGCGCTATCGGTTTCGCAGTCTTCTTCGCGGCCATACCATCGTCGACGCTGATAGACGCCTTTACCGCACACAGAAGCTCACAATTGCTCCATCGTGATCATGTATCTTCGACTAATCATGACCTGTTGAGGAATACGTATACCCGTAATGTTACAAATATCACTCGAAATGACTGCGGATACCTCCAGGCTGCAACGTGACAGAGACGAAGTCATCATTTCTTGTACTTCCTGTTTTGGAGTCGCGGCCTTTCAGAAAGCGAGAGAAGAGCAGGACACATGTCATAGTACTCGGAGCTTTTGAGGAAAGAAAGAAGCGCACATACATGCTCGCATCCTTCGTTTGGGTAGCAAGGGGGCGACGTGTAGTTAAGAAGAGAGAAGTAGAAGATAGTAAGCTTTATATAGACGTCCAGGTGCTCTAAAGTCAAGCTTTGACTCTTCTCTTCTCATAAACTCGAGTTTCGACACTTTTGGAGAGGAAACACGTTTGACGCCGACGACCAACGTCATGATCTTGTATTTGCGTAGATTCTGGAATGAAGGAAGCACCGCACTCATCAGATTCCCTGCTATCAATTTATAGCAACCGTGGATCGGATAAGTAGGGGATCGAAGTTTTGGATGAGCACTCCACATGTACTGGTGGCTAGACATCTTTGGGGTGTGCCGAATCGATCGAGATTGGGGAGCGAGGAGCTGGAGACGAGCGATCATTTAGACGGTGCATTTGTGGTTTTTAGAAGCAGCAGCAAACAACGCACATAACAGCTGGCCTTGTCAATTTTTGGAAAAAGAAGTATTGGAGTGTGATGAGGAAGAGAAAGGAAGCAGAAGAAGGTGTCTTTTATATCACATCGACGCACTAGACCCACACCGGCGTAGCAGCTGGATCACCGGCAGATGGCATGAAGTCATTGATTTGATGTTTTGCACAGAAGGTTCTGCTCCACAATCATTCCTTGGTTGTCATGACCTTTTGACAGAACAAACACATGATCAGTCCAGTGCATACTTTTGAGCCGCTGAAGCTGTTGCGTTCCAAAGAAGGCGGAAGAGAAGAGTCATGTTCTCGATCTTGTGGGAATTTTGTAGCACATGCAAAGGTCTTGGTAGTCTTTCAGGCGCATGTACCAGCACAGACCAATTTCGAATATGTCCCGCTGCGCAGGAG